TGTGTGTGTGTGTGTGTGTGTGTGTGTGTGTGTGTGTGTGTGGGTGGGGGGTGGCATTTCAAAGACAGTAGCTCAATGCATCAAAGTTGAAAGAAAAATGTCATGACAAACTCATAAATTAGTTTTATTCACACTAAAGTCCAATGTTGCATTGTAAATACAAAGAGGCATAACAAAAGTGGCCCACCTTTAACTCATTTCTAATCTTATAATTTAAAAGTAATTAGGTTTTAGAAGACACTCGTCTCCGCCCACCGACCTGAAAGAGCCTTCTTTACTTTGCTTCCCTTCTCTCTACCTCCTGGAACTCCAGAAATCCTCCTCTCAGCTGGACGTGTCATAAATCTGCCAGGATCCCAGCTAAATGAGAGATGAAAAGGATGTCACCTTCTTTAGGGGTCCCCGTGCCTGCGGGGGGGGGAGATAGATGAGGAGCGGGGGCGGGTGGGGCTCGACCAGAAATGACGCTGTTTTTGACCGTCTCTTCAGACCAGTAACTGCAGAGGCAGTAAATAAAAATGACAACTCGTGATAACATTAGAGATAATAGAGATCAGTTGGGTTCTGGATTCCTGTCGCTCCACGAAAAGATCAGTGGCTGAAAGAGAAACGCTTTTATTTTAGGTTTTTCTTTTTTCTGGAATGTAAATTTGTTTGTTTGCAGGAACCCTCAAACCGAACAGTCACACATTCCAGATTAAATACAAAATATGGGAAATCTGAGGTAGAAAAACCCAGCAGCTCCTGACTTTAGAAGCCAAAATACAGTATAAACAAACGAAAAGACATGACTTCCCATGTGTTTACTCGTGGAGCTGCTGTGTGCTAATGAAGCTTTTGAATCCAGGGCAGACCCTCAGAGATGCACCCCTCTGTTCTCCACTGAAGATGTTACTGGGTTTGGGATGCTTGCTCTACATGTGGAGACCCTGTTTTTTCTGAGGATACCATTCATATCTGGTGTTGTTCGTTGGTGGGGGGCACTCACTTATCAGGGCAGTGTAGGGAAACAGGGGAGGAAGGGAGGTCACGGGAGATCTCCCTCTAGGACCCCCCTGAGGAACTCACGTATTCAACCAGACAGGCCCTGAGGGTCTGTGAGAATCTGAGGTTGATTG